CAACGTCCCGTCACTGAAACGCCTATCCACTATTTTCTCCATCGTTTCAAAAGGAAAGACGACAGGCTGATAGGACGAAAAGACCTAGCCTCGGTATAATCTGTTTTCACGGGCTATTCGATAAATGTCACCTTAACTTGCCTCCATGCCATGGGGATAAAACCATATGCCACGCAGTCTCTATATATGCGGCATAGGTGTGGAACTAAGAGTTCTGCCCCATGCTGCAAAAGTGCCGGTACAATTTCATCTGTTCCCGCTGACTTGTATGGTCTAAGTGTATTCAGTGCCCATCTGATTTTTTATTGGTTAATTATGACTTTGGCCAGGTTCCAGTGTACCCTATTCGTCTTGCTTTGGCAAGTGCCCAGCTCCCTGTCTATCATCCGAATTATCAATCAATTTTGAACCAGGAAAGTGAACCCTGAATAATTCATTCAGTGTCTCCCTTCCTGTTTGAGTATACGACCCGTTAGGCAGCTTAATCTTGCTGACCTTGTTGGTCGCCTGTTTCGCCACGATTCTCATGAGTCTGGCACCGCCTGGTACATCATTGATCTCCTAGCAGTGCCTTCTCCATGAGGATCGCTTGGCTTTCCTTACTACTTTATGGAAACAGGTAAGAGCTCCTTATAGGTGCCCCACTGCCCTGTTCTTTAGCTGCATTAAACAGCCTTCTCGTTTTGGTTCTAAGCCCACTCAAGTGTTTATTCCACCAAGGCACTCTCCTTGGTTCGTGAATGGTCTAGCCGGATAATTCCTATTAAAGGACGAGATAATAGCCCATACAACTGGTCAACGGACCGATCAATATCCTTTATTGTGCGTATATTTCTCGAGATTGTCTCCAGATTTACTTTTAGGTCGTCTTTGTATGACTCCCAATTGGTTCTCTATGGATTCCTATAAGTAGCTTGAACTACTGTAATGCTGCTTATTTGAAAGCATATATATCTGTGATCCGATAGGGACAGCTCATCAGATACATGGCAATTACTGATCAGGTTTCCCATTTTATTGGTCCCGAGTGTCAGGTCGATAACCTCCTGCCTATTTCAAACCACAAAGGTAGGCTCGTTACCTTGGTTTAGAATATTAAGTTTTGACCTCACCAAATATTCCATGAGGCATTCTTCTCTTGGGTTGATGTCAGTGCTTCCCCACACTCTGTGGTGAGCATTGTGGTCACACCCAATGATAATCTGCATTTTCCTAAGATGGCAATAGTCAGCGATGTCCCTCACTTCTTTGGAAAGTGGTGGTTCATATGAAAGGTAGGCTGAAGTGACGATGAGTTCCTCTCAGCCTCCGCCCGATGTGTATGTAATCCTCACTGTTGTTGTGTCTCTAGAACAGAACTCAAACAAGGGTAAAGCATTAATATCATTATTAACATATATATGCAATATATATAATTATATGAAATAAAAGTTTTTTCAAATCAGTACTCTTATTTTTGTTTAAGTTCTGTATCCATTTGTAACTTACTTGACTTACCTACGTACTAGGGTGGTCAAATCAAAGCTGATGAATTTGATG